AAACGAAACCAGTCAATAGAATTAGATCATTCTGCACTTAAGAAAATCCGATGAATACGGCCCTTTCATATTCCGTGCAATTATATTTGCATCTATTTTCCCGGAGATTCGGATCGTAACAATTAGTAGGAGTATACGAACTTTTTTCATATCTTCTTAAGTTATTTTGTAATTATTCAAAATTGTTATTTCGTCCGTGACATTTCATTATGCTTAGCGAACAAACACATACCCAATACACGAGATACGATTCAATTAGACAAGGGAAACTAATTGGGCCGAGAAGGAGGGTGAACGTTGTTCCTATATTCTCGGAAATAATTTGAATATAAGCGATATTAAATGCCGAAATAAATTATACTCATATATACACGGAGCCTTGTAGATGGAATTTAGATGATCAAAGTGAATAGCGTACTGTAAAAGCTTACGGTGTATATTACAGAATTTGCATTTTTTTAGTAGCAAATTCGTTTAGTTTAATTACATTTACGTCACGTGAATAGTCTAGTTAAGTAATATCTCGGTACGCTTACAAAATTATGCCTAATTATATTAGAGAGAGATTTTGTCGCATATACCGTGTGTTTTGCTTCTGCTGAATATTCGAATAAATTCTTACGAGGTAGAGTCGAAAACTTGATCGATCGCTTTCTTTGGCTAGGAGAATTCCCTTTCTCTATTCACGAACATGCAAACAATTCCTTTTCCCTTCGGGCGGAGTAGAAGATCTGGTTCCTTTCCGAACGACACACAACGACCGGTGAGCGGCGGTTTCACGGACAAGTCTAAAAAGCAAACAGCTTTCCCCCTAAGATTCAATTAAGAAAAGACCTAATTGGATGACGCCCGAAATTACACTAGCTTCTCTCCGCGTATAATTTCAATATAAGCAATATTAAATAATATTTTGAGAGGGAAATTGTTGCTCGGGCATAAAAGGGATGGAGAATTTATTCGGCGATTACGGCGTCAACTCGCTGCTTTTAATATATTGTAAAAAGGGGTTGTATTAGAAACGAACGCCGCGTTTACGTAATTCCATCATTACATATTTCATCTGTACACCAACATATTATAATTAATCCCATTTGAATTCCCGTACCGTGTACAGGGTGGCCAAATAAGGATGGCTCTCGGCCATATCTCACAAACTAATTGTCATAGAGACTTGCGGTAAAAAATCTTATGACTAAATCGGCAAAAAGAAAATGCTGGAAATAATTTTCAGGTCTCTAAAATGGCCGCTAGGGGGAGTATCCGCCATCTTGATTTTCAAAAGTCATTTTTTTCAAAATTTTCCTAAATAAAGGTATCAAAAATGTGTTTTATTTTGATAGTTAAGATAATTTCGATTATTTTTTGTAATATATTTTTGACTCTATCTTTTAAAATAAAGTGGTGGGGGTGGTTTGAATATTTTGACAAATAAATGTTAATAACTTTTAAATGGCTGAACCGATTTTCAAAAAAATTAAATTGTTGAAAAGAGCTTTCTTTGGTCTATAATTCACGCTATATAAGATATTATTTTAATTGCTTGCTTGGCCGCAAGATGGCGTTTTTCGAAATTACTTCAAACAACACTGATTTTCTCAAAAAATTTAAATGCAACGATATAACTTTTTCTTTGGAGAAAAATAGTCAAATAATTACCAAACAAGCCTGTGAAAACCGCATCTCGATATCTCCTTCCTAACCTAAAATATATCTAAAAAAAGAAAAAATCAAGAAAATGCGTATATTTTTGGTGCACTACCAATATAAAAGTCTCTAATTAGCGTTGTTCCATCCACAAAAATTATCAATTTATTAATAATCTTCAAGTATGATATTTAGAAACACCAAGCTAAGTAATATTCATTTAATAATTATTGGATTTCCCTTTTATTCGCACTAGTTGAGAACAAACGAAATAACCATGCCGTGGAAAATAAAAAAACAAAAAATCTAACTAACTAGTCTACAAAAATGAGCTGGGCATTCATCGGGTTGGAAATACATATTTCTTCGAGTTTCCAGACGAACATCTTCCAATAACCCAGGAAATTCGTTACGTAGATAATTTAGAAATATTTGTCCGTTGAGTCGCCCATTAATAAACCAGGGAACAACAACTTTCACCTAGTATACCACACCACACGTTGATACCAACGTCCTTAATTATTCTGGACCTTCTGCGTCCAGTTTTTTGGTTTTTTTATTTTCCACGGCATGGTTATTTCGTTTGTTCTCAACTAGTGCGAATAAAAGGGAAATCCAATAATTATTAAATGAATATTACTTAGCTTGGTGTTTCTAAATATCATACTTGAAGATTATTAATAAATTGATAATTTTTGTGGATGGAACAACGCTAATTAGAGACTTTTATATTGGTAGTGCACCAAAAATATACGCATTTTCTTGATTTTTTCTTTTTTTAGATATATTTTAGGTTAGGAAGGAGATATCGAGATGCGGTTTTCACAGGCTTGTTTGGTAATTATTTGACTATTTTTCTCCAAAGAAAAAGTTATATCGTTGCATTTAAATTTTTTGAGAAAATCAGTGTTGTTTGAAGTAATTTCGAAAAACGCCATCTTGCGGCCAAGCAAGCAATTAAAATAATATCTTATATAGCGTGAATTATAGACCAAGGAAAGCTCTTTTCAACAATTTAATTTTTTTGAAAATCGGTTCAGCCATTTAAAAGTTATTAACATTTATTTGTCAAAATATTCAAACTTCCCCCACCACTTTATTTTAAAAGATAGAGTCAAAAATATATAACAAAAAAGAATCGCAATTATCTCAACTCTCAAAATAAAACACATTTTTGATACCTCTATTATGGAAAATCTTGAAAAAAACGGCTTTTAAAAATCAAGATGGCGGATACTCCCTCTAGCGGCCGTTTCAGAGACCTGAAAATTATTTCCAGCATTTTCTTTTTGCCGATTTAGTCATAAGATTTTTTACCGCAAGTCGTTACGACTAGTAGTTTGTGAGATATGGCCGAGTGCCATCCTTATTTGGCCACCCTGTACAGTCGATTTTAATTGAAGATTCCTTGACAGTCGGTAAGAAAGTGCTTGCCTAATCTTTTAGAGCTTTTAACACCCCTCGCTGTGTGTGACAATTTAATTGTTTTTTTTTCTACCGGAATTTCACAAGCTAACGAATTGAGAATAATGAACATTGAACAACAAAACGTGATTCATGCTTTCAATGGAATTCATTATGCAGTGGAAGAGAAGCCTCCATAGTGTGACGTATAATGAAGAGGTGTTTGTGCATGTAAAACAATCAGGAATGCATTAAACACCGTAAACGTTAAAATAATATTTTTCCGATTTAATTATGCATTCTGTTAAATTAACAACTTATTAAAAACGAGAAACGTACGTTACGTCGAATAATTTTAGATTAATAGTATAATTAGACACTTCATTATACAGATTAATTACGCATTCAAAGGTTTTTTTAATTAATAATTATTGTTGACTGTTTTAAGCACATATAAAGTTGGAAGGGTTTTTTATTGATACCGCACCCTTTACAGTCGATATAATTTCAATTTCATCAATTCACCTCTGATTGTAACCTAAAGGGCAATTCGTATATATGGGGAAGGTATACAAACAAACGCATAAATGAGAGGGAGAGGCGGAGAGGACACAATCGAAACGCAGACGCAAACAAAACGAGTAATATACGCCGATTTGCCATTACACGATAATTACTCTGTATTCATCCTCGCATTTGGCTTCATGCATATGAAATAAGCAAACGGGGAAATCCGAAGGAATATCTATAATTATAGACTTAGGAAGGAATAAACAACATACCTACAATTTACACTGTAACTTATTTTGGTTCGTTTCTTGCAGAGTTCTAATCCTTAACTAATAGGTATGGGAAATAATTTAATATCAAATTCATCTAGCGATATATTACGTAATTTTCATTTCAGCTATGCTGGCTTGATAGGAAAACTTCTTTATAACTTTATTAAACTTCTTAGACGTAATTTATAGCGGAAACGGCGTACCCTCGTTATCGCAAATATAAAACTTGTGTAATAGTGTTGAAAATCGTTATGACGCGTACACATCGCATGGGGGACGAGCGAGTTTTCTCATGTTTTTCTCCTAATCGAATGTCTTGCAATACATCACAAACTGTCGGAATGATAACATAAATAACATTAATGAAAATTAACTGATATCCGTCGGTTCGGTTTCCTAGAGATTTTTGCCGGAACGGCCTTGTATACGAAATTATATCAGCGAGTTTGTGCGCTTCGCCGAGTTATTTTGACGGGATAAACTTTTTGCGAAGGTTACCAACAGGGTTATAATGTAGCCACTTGATTAAATCTCCGCCAAACATCTTGTAAAAGTTCCCGAACTTGTTCAATTATTCCCCTTTCGCGCCCGACACTTAATAATAATACTAACTTTGCGGATATATCGGAGAAAATTCGATTTGCGGAACGGCCGCGAATTTTTGCGATTTTCCCGTCCCCAAAACGATTCCGGATATTTGTTTTATAAAACAATGTTGCAGATTTTAATTGCGTTCGTTGATCTTTTTTTAGCGATTAGTTTCGTAACAGGGGAGACGTGGTTGGTTGTCACAAAGTTCATTACTTCCGTCATTTGCAATATAAAAAGATATTAGGTATACTTTATATAAAAATTGGCAAACTGAAAGTTTATTACATATACGTTTAATTTAGGTGTTAAATAATTACTTTAATTAAAATACCTCTGTCGAATTGGAGTTGAGGAGAAAATGAATGGTGAAATCTTGGAAAATATATCGGTAATATCGTTATCTGCTCGAAACAAGTCTTCATATATGTCGAAGCAAGTTCTATCCGCAGTGCGCCGTCCTGCATTTGTATGCCCATCAGTGCCGGCACGTCAAGCCGTATAACCACCCGCCTCCCGTCGCTCTTCCGCCTCCCCATAGCAGTTTAATTGGATTTCTTTCTTTGTTCCGAGCCCTCGTTTGCGAATTAACTTCATTGTCTACGACCACGTAGTCCGAATACCACCCCGCCTAGTCTTATTCTCGCATCTGCTTTATTTCTTCCCTTTTTCGGTGCTACCGCCCCCCTTTCCGTTGGAACGCAGTCGTTGGGAAGCCGTTTCTTAAGGGCCAATACGGGAAAAACAGCCACTCCGTGAACGCGTTTTAAAAGTAAACTCATTTGCATTATTTAGTTGAAATATCGACAGAAAATGAATTGAGATAATTAAGGTTTCGATAAATTCAAGTAATTATTTAGAATTACGGAAAGCAGTACCTACCTAATTGGAATTAGTTTAATTTTGCATTAGAATTAGATAAATGCGATTCCGGGAATTTTTCCGCAATCAACGAACAAAGAAACAAATTAAAAATTTAGTTTCCAGAAAAGTTTTTACCGCATCGGTTTAGAGACGTTAGCGTGCGACGCCATGTGGTCTAGAGAACTGTAGATATCGAGGCGCCCGACCAACGGTTTTTCCAGTTTTCACTCGGAAACTTTTCCTTCTGATGACAATGGCAACTTATAACCTTTGGCACGGCTACGAACACTAGTATACGGTCGGCATTAAAATGTGTTAAGAAAGGCGGCAGGTGCCAAAAAGTTACTTACGGTCAAGCAATAATTTCGATTTTGTGAGCCGTTTTTACATAAATGGCAAATCGTATTGGCCAACTGGCGTTGTTTTATCACCTATATTTTCACATCGTCATATCGCATAACTTTCCAATATTCCTGCTATAAAAATTGAGAAAGTTCAATAGACTACATTTCGACAGGAATATAGCTGAAGTCGGCAAGGTCATATGTATTGTATTTATTGAATGCATCAAACTTCATAAGTTAATATTTGATTCTCTATTATTGAAGAGCTACGGAATTTGTTTTTCCTTTCGAATATGGACAACATTATTTTAAATTCATTCCTGCATACGATTTTTTTGTTGTTTTAAGTGCATATCGTAGGCGCCACATATTGTTTCCTCGCGCAAACAATAAGTAGCAGGGGGAGTGAAGATGGGGGTGATGCGCAATTTACCGTTGAAAAATGACGGCTTGTAAAGAGGGGTTCGCGGTAATCGTTTGTTTTATTCCGAACAAAAAGACGCTACGCGTACCTTTTTAATGCGACCGCATTCGCTAAAATGCAAATTGCATTATGACAGTTGCGTGAATTTCGCGAAAAATTAATCAAGCCCGAGTTGAATGGCGTTGGTTTCACACAAGAACCACGGCATTCGCATGATGGCATCCTCGAAATTTTCGACGGCTTTGCGTTAGAGTTAAACGAAACGTATACGAGACCGGAACTATCGAAGTTCGCCGACTTCTAGTATGTCAAACTCCCCGAACGGGGCATTTTCAGGATGATCCTCGAACTTAAAGTGGGTTAATCATCAAGTTTAGTTAGTGATAACTTCCTGATAATACGCACCAAGTTGATTTCGGCGATAGATTTAGGTGAAACTTCGATAATTAATAACGAAAAGTTTGGTGTCTGCTTTGCATAAAATAACAATTCCGGTATTAAAGTGTTAACAGAGCATTTGGTTTTATGTACTAGAACTGTATGGTTGATATACTAATTATTTGGTTTAATTTTGTACCGAATTAAAAATATATGGTATGTTTATGAAGAGTGTCTGATGTTGCTGCGTGAGTTTACTCGAGTAATTTTTTATTGCTTTATAAAAAAAATAACCAATTTGGTTGGTAACTTACAGGTTGTCATAACCTAAAATGATACATCATAAGGGTGAATAAATGTCACGTTTATGAATCCTCCATCAAATTACCTTTTCAATCATGTACTATTTGACACCCCATTACATTGAAAAATGTTTACTCCATTTCCTCGCCCAGAATTATTCTATTTTATAGGACACTTTCAATTCAGAAATCGGTACCACTTCAGGTACGCAATTTCATTCGAACATAACATGTAATCATGCGCATTCCATCGGTTTCAAACAAAGGAGAAAATCGATATGTAAAACAATATATCAAATATGTAAAAGAGTATAAATAAGGCAATTATGTGAAATGTGTACGTGTATGCACACTCCTGTCGTGGGCTGCTATCTCGTTCCTGCTTCTCGTGAAAACAATACGGCGCCCTGGCACCGGCATTCGACAAAAGAGGCACATAATAATGGCAGGGTCGTCCGTATCTTGACGGCCTTACTTTTCCTACTTTGGGGAATGTTATTGGGGTGAATTACCCAGAAAATAATACTTAGGGCCTTATTATGCTTTATGTAATAGGCGGGGACCTCGACGGTTGATAATCCAAGCGACAAGATGTTACCAAATGAAGTTACAAAGTGACGGCTCGAAATGGTATTATGGCGATGGAAATTCGACTTTAGGAAAATTTTCTGTTCCGTAATAATTATTTTAAAATGTCTGCGGTATCTCAGGAATTCCATTCGGTTTCCATTTTAGCATAAACTCCGCGTTTGAAAAAATAATACGTGAATAATTTCAAATTATATTATCGAATTAAATTTATGAATAGTTAATTACTGTTGCGGCTATAACAGCTCCTATTTAAACACGGATGAAATAAATTAAATGTTGAGAACTCGTTGGCCGACAGAAAAAAATTAAAGTTTCGAAATTAAAAACTACAGCCACATGACCTAGGAGCATCCATACAGCGTCACTGATTGCAATAAAACTTTTCCGTCGAACTGAATTTAAACCTCTTCCCCTGCCTTGTAGTCCGTTGATTGCGCAAAAATTCCCGAATTACTGTTATCTCTACTTGCCTGCTTTTAAATTCGTTCGGTCGTCGTTGCTTTTTTGCGCGCCTCGTCGTAAAACAAACTTTATATTTTTAAATTGAAATTGAAAAACGAGGTTAAATATGATTTCTTTTCGGAATTTAATTGGTTTTTATTTACCTACTCGAAGCAACGATAAATACGCAACCAGGGAAGTTTTATGGAGGGTTGTTTCATTTTAATATTACGGTTCTTACATGAATCAAAATTTGTATAGGCCCAAAAGAAGATATTTATTTATATGCAAAACAAGGAGATATACATACATATGTATGTATGTACCTATAAGTATTACATCATTTCTAAATAGTTATGTATGTGCAATTGGCAGTATGGAAAGTTTTTATCACGTCTGTCAGAATTTCAGGCACGGAGAATATTCGTAAAAATATCCTTCTTGTCGAGACTACAGAGGCGTGTCGATGCCAGATTTTAATTGGGCATTAAAATTCATTCTAAGATTAAATTAGAGCATTATGTAAAAATTTTCACACAACAGTGAATACTGTTTAACTAATTAAACATATCCTTCATTAAGATAATACGTATAAGTAGTTCGTTATTTTTACGCTTTTTATGATCGAAAAACAGGCTTAATTGTTGTCGTACAGTGCTTTAAATAGATAAAAATTAAATTGGGTTCTCATTAAAGAGATAGTAAATAAGTAAATGTAACACCTCTGTGTTATACAGTATGTACGAACTGATCCGCTGCAAGCATATAATGAGAATAATGAGATAGCTAATTTAACTTTTGCTATGTAAGGAATAAAGAGAACATACGAAATAGTCACGCCCGCTATCCCCGCTATTCGCTAGTGAACGAAGCGAAGCGAATTGACGAATTCTAATATCGGCCGGCAACCGATAAACAAGTTTCTGTTCTTTACTATCTTATAGTATTGATTGAGATTCTAATTCTAACGCTTGCAGCGGAAGAATTCGTACACTCTGTATAGCGGTGATGGAAACGCTTCATTTCGTTTTTGTCGGCCCGGTCGAACCGGCTTTATTGTTAGAAAACGTGAACACTTCGTGATTTCGTTCTCCTTTTGTGACTTTTTTGTATACAATGCAGGAGGTTAACTCGCTGACAATGGTTCACTTTCAAATAATTTAATTCCCATCAAAGTGGCGAGCTCTTACACAGCAAGACAGCAAGTCCTCTTCTTTCTATTAAACACAATCCAGCAGCCGTCGATCGATGAATTTTCCGTTTTATTACTTTTATAAAGAAAACAAACAAAAAGGATGGGAAAGACGACTAATTTTTTCCGGATTATCGGAACTGTTTGGCTTCCGCTTCCGTTAAATCTTGTACATATAAACTTTTTTTTCTGACCAATCACTCTTCCATAAATATCTTTTTATCGAAAGCCCATCAATCATGCTTCTCCTGCAAAATGGCGGACTGCTGGGACGACCACGACGGATTCTAGCGGTTAGAAAAGCCAAATACGCTGGTTTCATTTCCGCTTAGCAATCTCCCCGGTGAGGTATTCAAAGCATTAGAAATCTGTCTTGCACAATTTTCCCCGTAATAGAAAATAGCACGGGTGTATTGGAGTTTTTTTTTTGGCGAAGCGAATTTCGTAAGCGACTTGGCCGAAATACATAAACAATGCGAGCTCGATTTCCGGTCCCGGAGTCGATCTGTCAATGTCAAATGCGTTAAGATATTCACGGAACTGCTATAGCGGCGGACACCAATGAAATGTATAAAGACAGTGGTTGAGGTTACATCAACATAAATCACTGTTATCCGGGCCTCGGACTTCCCTCGCAATTATTTCGTATTGTTTGCTCTTCTGGGAGATTTATGGAAACCCCTCTAATAGGCAACAAGAGCAACTAAACGTAGGAATGCGATTTCGCTAATACAACGATGATGGATGTAAAAGAAATCTCCGGATCGTTTATTATTCTGGAATTATCGACTCCGAAAGTTTATTCTCCAGTCCATTTTTAGTTTCTTGAAATTCAGCACACGTACATCTTGAATATTTTCCTGCTTTAATTTATAAATGAAAATATTCTCTGGTTAAGCATCTCATCGATCAACGAGAACTTTTAAATTTATATAGCATTAAGCAGAATTTCTGACTAATTTGCGAGGAGTTTTATTTTCTTCCTGTCGACTACGAAGATGTGCCACGCCGCGTCGGTTTGTCTCCAACTCGGAACTTGTCCTATATTCATGGCCTAATTAAAATTCATAAAAGGCGCTATATGTACGCGTTATCCGTATAAACACCATAAATATTTCATAGGAAACTCGGGACGCGACGACGCGACGCGGTGCTCCGGTTGCGCGATAAGGGTTACTAATCAAGGAGGTTTATAAGGAAAAGTAAGTGGTCTTTTAGGGGGTTTAAGAGCTTTTTTAAAGTCTGCAAACTTTAATTGGCCGTATTTATGATAACAAGTTTGTAACGA